CCCCTCCCACTTCCCCTCCCCCTCCCACTTCCCCTACCCCTTTGCACCTTTTCTTCCTATTTCACATTTTCTATTATACATTTTCATCCTTATTTACACTTTCAGTTTCTCACACCAGAGAAACTATTTGGTATTTACACATGAGATGGGGTCTTACTAAGTCACTAAGTTGCAGGCTGGGCTCCAACTTGCAATCCTCAGGCCTCTGCCTCCCAGAATAATGGGATTACAGGCATGCAGTACCACACCCAGCAATATAGCACCATATGATTACAAAAGCTTCTAATAGTATTTTAAATAGTTAAGAAGTTAGGGCCGGGGATTTAGCTCAGTGTTTTCGCAGCCTGCTGCGCAAGTGCAAGGACCCGAGTTTGATCCCCGGTATCAAAAAAAAAAAAGAAGTTATTCTCGGGCTGGGGATCTAGCTCAGTGGTTCTGCTGCCTGTCTCGCAAGGGCAAGGTCCCAAGTTCAATCCCCAGTACCAAAAAAAAAAGAAAAAACCCAAAAAGAAGGTATTCTCAAATGCTAGCCAGGTGCTATTCTATGAAGAGTTAAAAAAAACAAACCACCCTGACTACTTCTGCAAACTACCTAAGTTCTTGTTAGACGACTTCAAATCCCAGAGCCCTGTGCCCTTCTTTATCATGGCCACCTACCTCTCAGGCTTGTATCAGTCCTAGCTGATATTTGAGATAAAAGACAGTTAAGTGCTGAAAAATTCAGGGAACGTATCTGAGCTAGAAAACTTCCTGAACAACTTTAGCCTATTTATCACAAAGTCTCTTTAGTCCACACCCATTTTAATAAGTGGAGCCTTTTAAGTATTAATGCAAAGTCAACTCAATAACCTTAGAAAACCTTGGGGGAAAGTTACTGACATTAAAATTACTTTCTCTGGGGCTGGGGATTTAGCTCAATGGTTCCACCGCCTGCCCCACAAGCATAAGGGCCTGAGTTCGATCCCCTGGTACCAAAAAAAAAAAAAAAAAAATTACATTCTCTGAAATATTTTTAAATAACCCTCTCAGCCAGGAATGGTGGCGCACACCTGTGAGCCTAGCACTTGGGAGGCTGAGGCAGGAAAATCACTAAGAGTCCGAGGCCAGCCTGGGCTACACAGTGAGTTCAAGGCCAGCCTGAACTGCATAATGAAACCCTGTCTCAGGAAAACCAAAAAAATAAATAAATAACCCTCCCATGTGAAGGGCATTTCAATGAAAAATTAATTGTAATGACTTTAGTTTTAATGGGCAAGTGTGGCTGTACACACTGGTGGGCGACTGTCTTGGTTCCACTAGAGACGCCCCTAACCCGAGGAAAGCTTACGTACTATTAGCTTGCAGTAAGTCCTTGGGCACACTGTAAGCAGAGCCTTGTGCCATGGCATCCACACTCTCATGCTGTTCAGGAGACATGGGCTCTTGTTTAACCTGCACCGATGAGTCTGGGGCAGGGGTACTGCCATGGGCCTGGAGTGCAGCTGACATGGTTACTTGTAGAGGAGCTCCAGTGGGTGACGGACACCCATGGGAAGGAGGTGGCCCCAGAAAAGCTGGGAAAAAGGGAGCAGGCAGCAGTGTGGCATCAGCAGATGTCTGAGATCTGCTGCTCCTCTGTTCCCGGGTGAGGTTACAGGCAGCCTGGTCTGGGCGCTCAGAAGGTTCATAGGTTTCTAGAATGGAAAACACATATACACAAATGCAAAAGTGCTACCTGTGAAGTCACTTTTTTTCTGAGCCAATTTGCATTTTAAAGATTAGATTAGAATTTTAAATTAAATGTATTAGTACACACCTTCATACTTCTTCAAAATACAATGACTGCCAAGGGTACAGCCAGAACTGGCATCAACATTTTAATTTTCCAAATTTTAAGTAAATGACCCAGTTATAGTTTTACCATTAGTTATACTAAAGAAGAGCCAAGATTTTAACAAAGGCCTCTGGATTCCTAACTCAAAGCTACTGTCTGTTGCTAAATATTTTGGGTTGTATAATCTACGGGGTTTTTACAGAAGGATGAAACCAAGGAGACATGAGATAAATTATATGACCTTTTCATGACTACTTTTCCTTCTCTATAAACAACAAAAAGCAATAAGCTGGGGGGGTGTATCATCAGACATGCTGTGGATACCTTGCAATCCTTGCAGAATCTGTATCCGATGGGTCCTCAGTGCACTCATCTCCATAGTTATCTAAAGACAAAGTGTGTGGTTAAGCATACTGAAATCTAACTCTGAGATGATCTGTTGTCATTAAACCATTTATATCCTGTTACCTGCTGCTTGAGGACGAGTAGCTTCTGAACTTCAACATACGCAGTCTGCAGGGCTGCCCGGGCTTGCAGAAGGTTGTTATCCATGTACTGCAGGGATTTGCTCAGTTCTTCCTCTCTTAAGGAGATATTCAGCAGCTGGTCAACCTGAGATCGTTCTGCTGAAAGATCGTAATGCCAGGCTTAATACTAGAGACTTCCCTATAATCATAGGACTCTTCAGAAGACTGAAGTCCATCAATGATTTAGGCAATAAGTCAATGAAAACTCAACAAACCTCAGAAAACATGTGGTCAAGACCAATGACATTAAAGCCAGAAACCAAAGAAGGAGGTAAGATGGAGGTGTACTATCTGAGCCAAACCCCAGCTTCCACCTTTGCCTTTGCAAGTGAACTCTCTGTCTAGGCACATAAGATCTTCTAAGTTTCATCTCCCACTCCTCCCTTATCTACCATCCACTGAACTCAGGGCTTTTGTTCAGATTGCTCCTGGGTCCACACTACTTGCACTCTCCTTCCAAGCCACATTCAAGGGCGGGGGCGTTTAGCTCAGCAGCACAGAGCCTGCCTGGCAAGCATGAGGTCCTGAGTTTGATCCTGGTACCAAAAACACAAAATAAAACAAACAAACCAAGCCACATTCTTCTAGTCTGTCAGCTAACTTGAAATAATTTTCTTTAGTCAGATTACTTGCTTTTGTTACAAATATTCTTTATTTCCTTACATATTCTGGACATTGAACATCAGATGTATCCTATGCAAATATTTTCCCCATGTGTTAGATTGTCTTGTTCTTTACTGATTGTTTCTTTGATATATGCAGAGGCTTTTTAGTTTGATGTAATCCCATTTATAAATTTTGCTTGGGGGGGGGGTCTTCTTCTTCTTCTTTTTTTTTTTTTGAGACAAGGTCTCACTATGTAGCCCAGGCTGTCCTTAGACTCATCCTCCCTTGTCAGCCTCCAGCCTCGCAAGTACTAGAATTATAGGCGTGTGCCACCACACCTGGCTTGCTTTCCGGATCTCATTTAAAAGATCTTTATCTATTCCAATGTTCTCATACATTTCCTCTATGTTGTTTTCTAGTAGTTTTATAGTTAGAATAGTTCTTTTTTTACTGGAAAAGGCTCCCTAAAGAAAATACAACTTCGATATTGTGTCAGTAGAAACCCAAACACTCAGTTTCTCCTACTTATACACTTACAACACAGATCCTTATGACATCAGATTTACCAAGCAAGCAATCAGTTCTTCAGTGGACACTAGTTCACTAGACTAGTTCAGTGTCTAGTTCAGTGGACGCTAGTTGTGTGTCTTCTGACACTACCTAAAGACTGCATCAGATCCCACAAATGTAGGACTCAGTCCCCAAGACTAACCTCATACTCGGGCAGTTGCAAACCCCAAGTTGTTTTACCTGTGCTTCTGATAGGTATAAATTAGGGTTCCCACAACCACTCCTCAAGTTCAGTTAATCTGCTACAGTGGATGACATAACTCAAGGAAATATTTATATGGTATATTACTGGTATATTACAAAGGACACAGATGAAGAGATGCATAGCACAACGCATATGGAAAGGTGTGTGGAGTTTCCGGGCCTCTCCAGATGGGCCATGCTCCCAGAACCTCTGTGTGCCCAGCTATTTGATGGTCTCCCAACCCTGTCTTTTGGAGTTTTTATGGAGACTTCATTACATCTGCATCAGTGATTAAATCTTTGGACACCACTGATCAATTTAACCTTCAGCTCTACCTCTCTGGAAGTCAGGGGTGAGGTTGAGAGTCCCAGCCCTCCAATTCTACCTTGTTCTATCAGATAACCACCCTTATTTTGAAGCTGTAAGGGCCGTGTTAGCAAGGAGTCAGTTCATTAGCATATAAAAAGACAATCACTTCAGAGCTTCTCAGGATTTTAAAGTTGTATGTCAGTAAACAGAATGAAGATCAAAAATGTATTTCACAATATTAAGGTATGTCACATTTTGCTAATTTAAAATGTTCTACAGGGCTGGGGATAAATGTGGTTCTGCCACCTGCCCTGCAAGTGCAAGGTCCCAAGTTCCATTCCCAGTACCAAAAAATAAAATAAAATGAAATAAAATGTTCTATTGTATGTATATTTATCATCATTATATTTGCTTCTTTCTAACTTAGTATGCTAAGACCTCTCCCCTAAACACTAGACACTAGATCCACATATACAACCATTAATTGAATACTCCTATAAGTGTCTCAAAGGACCATTTGGTCAAAGGATCCAAAAGGAAACTTAATCTTACTCCACCCTCAATCTGCTTGAATCATGGAGTCTTCCAGGTCTATAAATGATACTAACATTTATCTGGTTGCCTCAGCCAGAAACTAGGGTTGTCCTTGAACTCTCCTTTATCTATCCTATCCACTTCCCCATCACTTCCTGCAAGGACACCAAGAGTCACTAAAACCTATGTGTGTGTGGGGGGGGAATGATGGTAATGTCTCTCCTTAATTCACATTAGAAAAGCAACCAAGAGGCCAAAATAACAAGAGAAATGGCTATCAATGACCAGGAGAGAGAATGTTTTTACTAAATCAACTGTTTCTCTTCATCCCATGGAAGAGACCCAGTGAGACTTTCTGGGTTTATACTAAGATACATAACCTTAGGTTCCAGGTCTATGTGGCATCATGTATGTCCTTTCTAGCTGTACCTGGGTGCAGGAGGAAATCAAATTTGCTCTACTCTTTAGCAAGACAATATTGTCTAATAAATAAGTAGATGAGCCCGGGATTTAGCTCAGTGGTTCCACGGCCTGCCTCGAAAGTGCAAGGTCCTGAGTTCGATCCCCAGTACTAAAATAAATGAATAAATAAATAAACAAATGCACAATCAGTGTTTTGATGACCACAACCTGTGCTGCATCAAGCTGTAAAAGTCTGAAGTGGTGAAGAACAACAACTTTCTAACAAAATATTCTGTATCATACCTTTCTTCCCTTTAATTTTCCTTCTTTTATTTTTTCTCTCAAGACTTGGGAGTTCAGGAGAAGATCCATCCTGAGGGAATAAAGAAATTTTAACAATATTAAGTATGTGGGCCGAGGATTTAGCTCAGTGATTCTGCTGCCTGCATCGCAAGCGCAAGGTCCCAAGTTCAATCCCTAGTACTGATAATAATAATAAGTATGTAAAGGTCATTATCCAAGAGAGAAAAAAAGAATGAATTCTCAGTCACACTGTCCTTCACTAATTGCTAACATCTCTTAACAAGATAACAGGAGGCTCACATACAACTCAAATATTAGTTAAAAGAATGCATTTAATTAAAAAACGAGTCCAAAATCAAACGCCCCCTAGCATCCTACAGGTGATAAAGGTCATGGGTCTTAGGCAAAGCATTCCACATATGGGAGAACTGACAGTCATGAACATATACTCTGAGATCATCTTGGTATAGTTTCTACTCTTTTTTTGATACCGGAAATCAAACTCAGGACTTTGCACTTGCGAAGCAGGCGGAAGAACCACTGAGCTAAATCCCCAGCCCTAGTTTCTACTTTCTTTTTGTTTTTTGACACAGGGTCTCATTAGGTAGTCCAGGTTGGCTTTGAACTTGCTGTGCATCCCTGACCGGCCTTGAACTTGCTGGCTTCAGTTTCTACTTTGAATTTCAGCAAGAAAATCTTTACAAGAAGCTAAACCATCTATGAGACAAATCTCAAGATGATAACTTTGTCAATAGACAATCTTAAGCTTCAAATATATTTCAAATCATCTAATAATATTCCCTACGTAGTGTCTAGTTGACAGCAACCGAGTTCAAATTTGAAATGGGTCTAAAACCCACTACACTAACTACTCAGTATGTCGTTTTATTTTTTAATTTTTTTTGTTTTTATTGTTTTCTAGTACTGGGAAACTGGGCTTTTCACACTGAGCTACATCCCCCCCTTTTTTTGAGATAGGGTCTTGCTAAATTGCCCAAGCTGGGCTCTTCAGCCTTTCAGAGTGCTGGGATTACAGGAATGTACCACTGGGTGCAGCTACTGTCTTATGTTTTCTTTCATTTTTTTTTTTTTAATGTTTTAATGGGCCCATCTGTTCACAGGGCAGGATTTCTGACTGTATCACTTCCAGCAACTTTCTTTTTAGAAAGAAATCCTGAAAGGGTTAAGCAATTAGTGTGAAAGGAATGCCATAAAAGCAAAAATGGTGGGCCAGGGATTTAGCTCAGTGGTTTCGTCGCCTGCTGTGCAAGCGCAAGGACCCGAGTTTGATCCCCGGTACCAAAAAAAAAAAAAAAGGTATCTGTGAAGAAAAAGACCCTTTTAAGGTCAGTCTGGGCGACTAAAGGACAAACGACAGAATTACAAAGACAAAAATTAAATAAATAAAGCACACATAGCCAGGCACGGTGGTACATGCCTATAATCCCAGCTACTTGAGAGGCTGAAGTTTAGGATCACAAATTAAAGCCCTGCTTGGACAACTTAGCAAGACCCTGTCTTAAAATAAAATAAAAACGGGATGGGGATATCCGTCAGTGCTCCTTGGGTTCAATCCCCAGGACCAATGAATGAATGAGACAAAATAAAGCTGGGAGTGGTTGGTACATTCCTTGTAATCCCAGATCCTGGTACTTGGGAGACTGAGGCAAGAGGATTGAAAGTTCAAGGCCAGGTTGGGCAACTTAGAAGGATCCTGTCTCCAAATAAAATAAAAATGGGGCCGGGGATTTAGCTCAGCGGCATGGGCACCTGCCTGGTAAGTGCGAGCTCCTGAGTTCGATCCCTGGTACCAAAAAATAAAAAATAAAAATGACTGGGGGTGTAGCTCAGTGCTTTCCTAGCGTACAGTAGCCCCTAGTTCAATCCTCAATACTGCAAAAAAAAAAAAAAGACTAAAACTTTTCTATACTCTCCATATATATATGTACACTTTAAATCTCACAGTCCTGAATCCAACAATCATACAAGCCCTACAAATCCAACAATAAAATGCTTTTCCTCAGAAACAATACAGAGTGCATCTATGAAAACAGATTAAGTTACAGCTGAAGATACAACTTATCCTTGGTCAAGTGATACAAACCATCACTGGATTGGAGACCAGTTTTAGACATGACTTCACATTTTCCTGGTACTGTACATTCATATTACATTACATCTAATTTAGCAGAACTACTCAGTGAAAGAAATCAGTGGGATGAAAATAAGAGCCTCACAACTCTATTCCAGAGTAGAGAGAACCTTAACCCCAGGTAGCCAGAAAAATCAAACAGGTAAGCCTTTCTTGTATGAACAAGTCACCACATAAGATTTTCTATAAAAAGCCCAGAAAAATCATACTCACTCCAGTGGCTCTTCGCTTCTTTCTAATACACTGGCCATCATTTTGTTCAGCACCAGAGGTACAGCTACTATCTGTAGCTGCATCTGCCAAGCTGGAGATTGCAAGGACTGAGGACGCATTTGATGATAAACAGCCCCCTTCTCCAGTGCTCTCCTGGGCATTTTGAGTCTTGGGTGGTGATGTAGAGCACTCCTGGCTGTTCATATCTTTTGCAGAATGCATCAAAGGTATCATATGGTCAGATGGCAACTGTGTACTATGTCGCCTTCGGATAGCAAAGTTTTCAGCCCTTTCACATGTTCTGAGGGAGGCAGCCAGAGGTGTTGCTTCCTGTTTAAGGCACAGGGTTGCTTTCTGACTCTGTGCAGCACTCAGGGAGTTACTAGGTGAAACAATCTGCTGGGGTTCACTTTCTCGGCCAGTACCTTCTTCACTGAAGAAGCTGTACACAGGAGCCCTGTCTGTGATCACACTGCTCTCAGAAAGGCTTCGCTTTCTGGCCAACCCAGGGGCTGAGGCGATGGAAACAGCTTCCCACTGGAACCCTTCAGGACCAGACAGGCCAGGCTCCCCACCTAAACCCAAGACTTCTTGTTCATTCTGAACCAGAGGCACCATTTCTATGCCAAATCTTTAAAAACAGAAAAGACAAAAAGAAATCAGACGTGATAAGGGCGAGAGGCACTACTGAATGTGTCAGGCTCTGTGAAGCACAAAAGTGAATGAGACTTTCTGAGTTAAAGTAGTTCAGTTTGATAAACAATTGATCCAGGCAAAAAAGTAAATACATTATAAATATTTAAATGTCACAAGTCCTAAATTAGAGATTAGATTACAGCTATGAGAATACATGTAAAGAAGTAAAAGTTTGAGTTTTATTTCAAATGAAGCTATAAATCTACAACAAATACATCAATTTTAAAAGCAAACAAACCAAAATAGACAAAACTAAATATTCACAAATGCCAGAGACTGTGCTAAGGCTGAATAATTAATCTCAAGTATTACTTACAAGGTCTGGGAAAAATAATTTTTTTTTGAAAATTTTTAAAAAGGAAACAAAATAAATCCCTTATTTCCATGAGGACAAAAATGGCCCAAAGCATGGATAACTGTGTAACACTGCAGAATCAGGATTTTTAAGTAGTAGACCTTTGTTACACATTGCTTTACCATTCAAAAAAGTCTAGTACTTAAAATAGCCAAAATACTACAAAAGTCTTTAAGAGAAAGTATTTTGTGATCCTAAGTATAACGCCCAAAGTACATAGAGAAAGGTAACTATCCATAGGTTCTAAGCAAAAGGTAATAAGAACAGTTATACCTAAAACATTAAAACAGTTATGCTCTAACATTAACATCTAGAGAAAGACACAGATTTCTGGACAGTTTTCATGGTGTTACTTTTTAGCCTCTTTAAATTAGAGTGATGACTTTTTTCCCTGTGCCCCTCTAGTTTCTAAGAAGGAATATATTTCCATTTTAACTACATTCTCTGCTAGGAAAGCCTAGATTCTATTTACAGTACTAATACAGCACTACTCAGTATCTGATAGTCAATTAAATCAGACACCTATAGAGGGTATTTTTAGCAAACATTTAACTAAATGAAACAAGCAGAATTTGCTTCATCAAGGTCAAAGGGTAACTTTGAAAGAACGCAAGAAAGACACATATTGAAAAGAGGCACGCACACACCTGGGTAAGCCTTTGCCCAGCTCTTGCTTTTTCCTGGTTACTTGCTGAATGACCTGTTCCCAGTTGACATTTCTCCGAGATGCATTCAGAATCTGTCTTAGGGTTGGCTTGAGACCAGACTCCTTCTCTGTTTCACTCTTTCGATGACCACTAATATTGCGAATGCGGCGAGCACTATTGAGGTTTGGCTCAGGAAGGTGTGCTCCAGTTTTGGTCTTTGAACTAATGTGGCGGGTTAGATCTCTCTGGAGTGAGGCAGGAAAGCCAAGCTTACTTAGTTCGGGCAGGAGAGAACCAGAGGGCTGACTGTTATCACTTTTGTGAAGTTCTGCTTCCAAGGTAGTATTCGCAAAGGCTTCTGTTTCGTAAGATATGAGAGATTTAACAGGGTTATCACCCTGGCCATCTTCTAGAGAAGTTTTCAAATCCAGTAATAAGCTAGACTGTGGACTGGCTGCAGATGGCATCTGTGACTCAGACTCTTTCTCATGAACCATGGAATTACATGAGGTGAAGGCAAGTTTTCTAGATGTTTTCAGGATCTGGTCATCCTCTTCTTTCTCACCGACAGTATGAGTGCTACAGGGTAAAACTTCTGTAGTTGCAGAACCTAGGGTTCCGAGTTTTGTTCCATGCTTTTCTGTGTCAGATGTTTCTCCACCACTTTCATCTTCTAATGCTTGTACTTGAAACTCAATCTTCAAAGATCCTTTTTCAGACTCCAGTACATTCCTACCTGTTTTTGCATAGATCCTGGTCCTTTTAGGAGTGCTATGAGGTGGATCTTTCAATGACTCATGACACTGTAGCATTTCTTTGGCTTTTTGTATTGTACTACTTAAGTTAACATCCAATTCTTTCTGAGTGCCAGAGGCAGTCTTACTTCCTTTACGAGAACATGAACTACGCATTTTGGACAGGGAGGAAGAACCATGGTTATCTTCTAAAATGGGTTCATTCAAGGGATTTGAGTTTCCTGCAGGAAAAGAATTTGTTTTGGTGTTTTTTGAGGGAGTCTTTGGGTCTTGCTTTTGAGAAATGGGCTTAGTGGCCAGAAGTGGAAGTGGGGATTTCAATGAGAGCAACTTATTTGAGTTATGTTCTTGTTCAGGGTTATCTGTAATGGGACAATCTCTCATCACCTCACAGGAAACAGGGCAGTCAGAAGGGGCTTTGTGATTAAGAGATCCATTATCTATTTCTTTTTGTGTTTTTAGTGCTGGGGGATTATTAGCTTCATCAGTTAGAGGTGCTCGTATTCCTGCAGTTATCAAGCTAAAGTCAAAGAGAGGCTTATCTGTCATTTCTGAATTATTACCAGTGACTTCTTTCAATCCCGACTGTGAATCCAGAGTCTTCTGGGAAGGGTACGGAGTCCATCGATGGAGCTTTTCCCTTGCTACACTGCCATTCTTTCCACCAGTTTTGGTAGGTGCACTATCTATTTGTTTAGTAGTCTGGCTTTCTGGTTGCTCAAAATTGAAGTCATGTAAGTCTTCTGAAGGAAATCTATCACTGGTAAAGTCTTCAGAAGGACTTCTGTATGCTGCAACCATACCAACTTTATCATTATCTTGCCACTGCCAATTATATCTCTCTTGATTGTATTTGCTTGACATATTAGATTTCTTGTTCCATGGCATATTCATGTCTTCTCCCTGATAGTTAGAATTTCTGTTTCTCCCTGGTTGAAATTTGTCTCCGGGGCCATTGTAATTCCAACTATTCATATTACGCACATTGGATTTCCAGTTTCCGTTACTGTTGTTCATATGCCAACTGGAAAAACCACCTGTTCCTTCAGAATGCCAACTGGAATTCCTTCCTGGACCATTATAATTCCAATCTACCATCCCGTTATTTGGATGCCAAGCTCCCCCAGAATTACTATGGCTGTGAAACCAAGTTGAGGAGCCCCTTGCAACCCCATTACGCCACCCAGCACATCCTCTTGGTCCACCACCATTCCTCAAAGAATGTGAAAAGCTACTTTTCCTAGCATTATTAAAGCCGTCTTTTTCCCATTTCCAATCCCACTGTGGAGGTCCACGATGATGCCTTGCTGGCTGACTGTAATTATCCCTGTCTTGGTAAGGGATTCGGTCTTCGCGTCTCCACTGGGGTTGTCTGCCATCTGAGTTTATTTCTTGGCTGCTACTGGAAGATTTATCTTGTCTGGAAAAAATAATAATTTTTTCATTATTGATTTAAAAGAATTCTTATGATTTCTGTAAAGGCATAACCCAAACTTCCCCTCCATCCTTCTCCCCTATGACTTAAATTACATAATAAAATCTATTTTTACTTATAATAGTGATTGCTTTCATATCTTTAAAGATAATGATTAAATTTATATTCCACCATTAACTAAATTAAAATTAAACAATATATTATTTTCTTTATCATCCTAAAAATATTAAAAATCTGACATATTTACACCATTTTTCTCTTCTGAGGATATTCTCATTTTTCTTGGCATGTTCTGGAATTTTGTCCCTATTATTATTTTTAGATTATGCAACTTTTTCAAAATAAGAAAAGTATATTTCAGTTATGATTAACACGATTTTAATGTTCATTCAGCTGCCTTTAATATGACTTCTCCAGCTGAAAATTTTTTGAAAAATCCAGTTTCTCGACCATTTTGAATACTAAACTTCTTATATTTTACATAGTTACTTTCATTAATAAACACTTTATTAAGTACCCATTCAACAGTTGTTAGTGGCATAAGAAAACTTTTAGGCATAGTTCCTATCCATGATGGCCTTAGAACCTAGCTGAGGAAATAAGTAAGGTCACAAACAGGAGTAAAACAGCACATACCCAATAAGTAATAACCCTAATGAGTGCTATAAGGAGCTCTGGGAACTAGAAATTTTTATTAAAAAGCTACAGCTTTGAATGCTGTTTGAATTATTCATGTTAGAGTCCACAGAAGTGTGGATTAAATTTAAGCAAACATCATAGCAACAGGTATAAAGCCATTTTCCTTTATAAACTGTCTATGGGTTGTCCAAAACAGTGTTCAGCATGTAGCAGGTGCTCAAAACACTGAATGATACTAGTTAACAGTTACAGAAAAATCTACTAAATATCAGGCATTTTTAATGCAAGCTAATACTTTATATAGGTTACTTCAATTAATTGTCACAATTCTAAGGCAAATAATATTATTTTTAATATTTTTACATGAAGAAACTGAAGATTAGAGGGATCATATAATCTGTCTAGAGTAAGACAGAAAGTGGTAAGAGGAGAAACTTGAACCTTGGGGGTCTGACTCGAGTTTACACTCCTAACCTGGAGGCCTTTATAGAATGCAAATCCCAAATCAAGTTGCCACAGTTGGATTTCTCTAAACTTGACCTAAATCTTAAAACTCAATATTGACCTTAATTGGCTTGAAACGCTTGTGATACATATTAAATAATTTCTGGACACAAACTGGGATTCCTGCCTTTTTCACAAAATAGATTTAAAAGTTAATGTACCTTGAAAACTTCAAATATCTACTTACATTATAAATTATAACTATGTCTGAACAGGAGACCTGAAGTCCCCAAGGAACAAGGGCTATTACACGCACAAACAAGGTTTGCTTTGAGGCTAGTCATCATCATTAACCAAACTGCTTTTTCCTCTTATTTCTAAACAGTAGGCGAATCACAAACTCAGCCATACTAATGTGGTCAGAAGTGAGGAAAGAACTGAGTAATAAATCTCAAAGCAGAAGTCCTAGATTATCATGAACTAGACTGAGGGGATAACAGCAGTCAGCTAAACCCAGACCCTAGAAAAAACAATCAAAGTTAAAATCTCAAGAGGGAGCCATAGTGATGCACACTTGTAACTCCAGTTACTTGGGAAGCTGAGACAGGAAGATCAAAAGTTTGAGGCCAGCTTGGCCAACTTAGAAAGACCATGTCTCAAAACTTACAAACAGGACTGAGGATGTAGCTCAGTGGTACCATGCTTATCTAGCACGTACAAGGTCCTGGATTCAATCCCCAGTACTACAGGGGGTAAAAAAACTCATCAGGGAAAGAAGAAAATAAAAAAACATCATGAAGGGGGCCAGGGATTTACCTCAGTGGTACCACTGCCTGCCTCGCAAGTGCAAGGTCCTGAGTTCGATACCTGGTACCCCCCGCAAAAAAAATCATGAAGAAATAAGATTTTATAAATAGGCCATCACAGAAGCATATAAAAAGACTCAAAGAACAGTAACAGTGTGATATCAATGTCTTACCTGCTAAGATGCTTCTTACTGAGTTAATGTTTAATCATTTATACATATAAGCTAATAATGGCACAGGTGTGTAAGAGACTCCAACTTCCTAAAACAGAAGAGTCAACTCTAGCTGTACTAAAAGTAATGAAAATGTCTTTTGAAGGACTAAGCAACTGAAGAATTCAAGAACCATGTTGCTAATGACATTAAGACTAAAAGTCTCCTTCAAAAATTTGTTCAGAAAACTTCTAATATGTGGTTCTCTCTCTCCCTTTCACTCATATCTGAAAAATTCTGTCTTATTGATTAAAACTTTTTAGGATAAAAAAATCAGTAAGGTAAAGGCACAATGTCTAATACTTGCTTACATAAATGTATGTATAAAATTATTTGGTACAAACCACAGAAAGTATTGCTCAAATGACCTTGACACTATCAAATCTAAAATAAAGTTATTCAATAAATATTTATAAAGGCACTTAGTGTAAACCAAGCACTGTTATAGTCACCAAGGATTCAAAGACAAAGAAAAATCAAATTTTCCAGAGGCAGCATGTTAATTCACAGCAGGTAAATACTGTAATTTATTCAATGACACTTATACTCCTAATAGCTTTTCACTATAAAAGTTGAATACCAATAAGAATGGTGTAAACCTAGTTACCAATATGGCAAAAATTTCAGACACGTAGCTAGTCCTAGCTTATATCAGGACAATACTGAGTTTGGTGGACTTTTTTTTAGAGCAAACAGTACACTAATTCAAGAAAGCATTTCATGGTCTTTTACTCATAAGACTGCAACCTGAGGCTAAACTTTTAACTAAGATAAGTGTAAATGCTAGAGACTGAAAAGTACAAAAATGTATTCTTATATTCTGTTACAAATAGGCTTTTAAAAAAATCATTACTTACCGACTTTGTTCTTTCCTTTGTTTTATTAACTGAACAAGTTCCTTATCGAAATACTCTTCTTCCTCCTCTTCTCCCTTTCCATCTTCTTCTCTTTCCTGAGCATCAACATTATCTTTGTGCAACTGGCCAGAAATGTGTTTTGCATATGCAGAGAGACCCACTATGGTGACTCCGCACACGCGACACTCGTGGCTACTGTCCCTAGGGAAAGAGGGAGATGAGGGACATTCAATTCTCCCCACTGGCATGGCACACTCACGAGCTGTGTTACAGTTTCCTCTGAAAGACACTGCACAATTTGGCACAGTGGAGAATTAGTGCTCATCGATTTCAATGCTCCTTTCACCACTTTTAATAGGTTTGTTCATAAGTTACTTTTGAAATGATTTTCAGATTCCTTTCCAGCAATCAAGAGGCAATACACTTCAGATTAATGTGCTTTAGGAGGAGAGATCTTCTTGAATTGCTGTACTTAAGATCTTGCCAGAGGAAACATGGTGAAAGGGGAGGCAGGGGAGGGGGCTCAGAGCAAAGACAAGTTGCTCTGGAGCACACCCATGGTCCCAGCTGCACTCAGAGAGCCTGGAGACAGTGCTCTGATTTAACCTCCTGCTCTGGAGCACTCTTCCAGTCAAAATTAAGGGGTGGAGAAACAAGTAGGTGGCACAGCCAATCTTAACAGGGAGCTAAATCTGAACAGCTGGCACTTTGCCTGGAATGCGGAGATTCTGATAGGAGTCGTCCTCAAGCTTTTTTTGATCTGGATGATACATGTGACCTACACTCTGCTTCAGAAGGGCTTATTTTAAAGGGAATGGAAAGCATTTCAGTTGTGGGACGTTAACAGCTGTGTTAGGCAAATGTTTTTCCTCAAGTTTCAGAAAACATTACAGTTCAGAGAGAAGCAAAACTAAATTTTTATTTAAACTGGACAGATTAATTTTTTTTTCATTTGCTTGACAACACTCAATAGTGAAATTCATACTTGGCCAGTCTTAAGAGGCTAGTCTTGAAATCTACTCCAGGCCTATAACAGATCCAATTTTGCTGCTCTCTGGCCTGAAATCCCTTGATGGGTCAGCTGTCTATGCATTCACTGATGAGAAACATCTGAATGCCACGGCCACAGGGCAGTAGTAGCCATCCAAAATCCAAACTGGCTTGATCTCCTATCATGTGTCTTGAGTTTATAGTAGTTCTATTTTTGTACTTCCTATATCAATCTATTAAAAAAATCAACATAAGAAGACATGCTTTGGCCAGACAGAAACACATACTCATGAGCACCTCTCACCTCCTTCTCACATACACCTATCAGAACATGGGCAGAATTTATATCGATTAAACCAGAAGAGACCTGAAACTGAGCACTTCATTTACTAGAAGACAATTGCTGTTATAGACCACTTAAATGTTCATTTAAAACAAAATAAAACCAAAAACCACCCTATTAAGCAACTACTAAATGTGAGACATGTGAACAATCTCCAAGAAGTTTAAAAAATAATACTTTTTTTTTTTTTTTGAGACAGGGTCTCCCTATGTAGCCCAGGCTGGCCTTGAACTCACAGTGATCCTCCTGCCTCAATCTCCTGAGTTCTGGGATTACAGGCATGAGCCACCATGGCCAGCTATAAGAACAATACTTAAGACTGGGGGTGCGGCTCAAAAGTAGGACACTTGCCTAGCATAAGACCCTATGGTTTGATCCTCAGAACCACAAAAAAAAACCCCAAAAACACCACACACAAATATAATACTGTTTCCTACTTTGGAAGCATCAAGAAGAGAAACATGAAAAAAAAACCAAGAGAAACATGTAGAAAGTTTACAAGTTTTCACCTTTTTTTGAACTCTGTAACTCAAATGTTGCTATTTTATTTATTTTGGTACCTGAGATAGAACTTGGGACCTTGCGCTTGCGAGGCAGGCGCCAGAACCACTGAGCTACATCCCCGGCCCCAAATGTTAGTATTTTAAAGATTTATTTTAATGAGCTGTGACCAGTTTCCCTAAAAAAGCAATACCTGATTACTCTGAATATCAAGATCCTAATTCCTTTTAATCCCATAGGTACTTCAATACATTATTTTCACTGAGAATTTTCAACTGTACTTACTACACATATATACTTAAAGGACAATCTTTAATTTTTTCCAGGTTTCCAAGGATAGCAAGTAAACTGATGGTAGTTTATCCTAAGTGAACACTAACTTGCAATAGAAAACAAAGAAAGTTAAAGATATAAATTGATCCACAATGGGCAGCACACCTAATTTACACTACACAACAGACATTCAAATCAATTTAATTTTCCAGTTAGAAAATGTTTTTGTCTTTAAACTCCATAAAATCATGTTTTCTACCTAAGAACTTATAGGATGCTAAACGCTATTATAGTACAGTAGTTCTAGTAACATCATTCTACTGGGAACTTTAGTACAATCCCTTAAATAAAATTCCTGATTTTTATCCTATTTTCTAAAATGCATGGCACATGCCTATAATCCCAGCAGGAGGCAGGAGGATCACTGCCTCAGCCCCCCAAGTGCTGGGATTATAGGTGTGTGTCACCATGCTCAGCTCAAACAGAGATTTTTAAAAATATTTTACTTTCCTTGTGAAAAAGAACATAGCCAAAGATCCAAAATTATCTGTTAGACAACAGTGATCCTGCCCAGACTGTAAAGGCAATAGGAAGTGTGACATAAATGTTAATCTAAAAATGATTTAATAAAAAACCAGAAATCTCTTAACATTTTTCTTATAAGAAATCTAGCTTTAAAAAGACAGATAAACTTTACAAGAAACTTCCACAAGAGAGAATCTAAGTTTATACAGAGAAAGAATAGGGTAGGACAACTATATCTTCTGAAAATTCAATGTATGCAGAGGAAACCATATAACCTCTATTCTACACACAACAGGCATCAATGCTTCCACGTATGTGTTTGGGAAGCCACATGTTTTAAAAGTTAATAGCAAACTAAATATTTATTGGTGCTGCTTGTCAAATCTTTTACTAATAACCAGTTTAAAAATCCTGTGTTACGTGCATAAAATGATTAAAGCAAAATGTGCTGCTTTCACTTCTTACCAAGTAAAGTAATAATTTTCCCCAGCGTGCTTAAAGGGCCCAAATTAGCTTCATCCTGTTACCACACAATTTCCTCTCATGTGTGAAAGGCAGTCTTAGATAGTCTCTACATAACTTTTCTTTATTAAGCTTGCTCTAACTATACCACAACAGCTGCCTGATAAATAAAGGTTTGAATCTTTTTGACAGCATCTATCTGTAGGAACTACTTAGAGAATACCCATCTGAACAAATACGTTAGGGAAAAATAGAGAAGTGTTACAGATGTCCATAATTGTGTACCAAAGAGGACCAATTACTTTTCATTCAGGCTTGCATTCAAAGCTTAAAACTTTACAATTTCTCACCAAAATCACAGCCAGAAATTACAGAAATAACTATAAACTGAAAGTCTTAACATCAGAAATTTCACAATTAAACATGAAATTCAGAGGAAATAATCACAAACTGAGGAGAACTGGAAAAAGGAATACCTGGTGATTCTTTGTTCCTATGGTACAAACTAGTGATGATTTGTCCTTACAATAAATGTTTCAAGACAGTACACTTTCAGGCCAGTGTTTGTTTTCCTACTCTTTTTTTTGGTACCGGGGATCGAACTTGGGTTCTTGCGCTTGTGAGGCAGGCAGTGGAACCACTGAGCTAAATCCCTGGCAAGTGTTTGTTTTTTAAATATAATTTTTCCAGCTTTTTTTCTTGCTATTTACTGTCTTCTCCTTCCACCTTTACAGTATTTTTCATTTTTGGTGATACTGGTGATTGAACCTAGGGCCTTCATGTTGAGCATATCTCCAGCCTTTGCTTTATTTTTAATGTAAAGAGAGTCTTGCTAAGTCACTAAGTTGCCCAGGCAGGGCTCAAACTCATGATCCTCCTGCCTCAACTTTTCAGAGTCCTGGGATTACAGGTGTGACCCACCATGCCTGGCTTCCCTTAGAATTTTTTATAGGCCAGAAAACCATACAAAATTTGTTAGCACTGCATCTAACATATGAAAAAATTAATACAAAGTGCCCTCCTCTAAGTTCAATGAATTGGGGTACAAAAACTGACATTTATATTAGCAGCTTAGACACTTTTAATGTTCTTCTATGTGCAATTGTAAATACACAGGAAGAGGTCTGGGGAAGATGTACTCTGTGGACTCTGTAAGACAGAAGCGGGATTTAAAGGGGCTGGGGGATGAAGACATGTACTTTCTTTTACTTTTTATGATTCTGAACTCATTATGAAGATGAATCTTATGTAATCAAAATTTGATTTTTAAAGTTTTAAACATCTGATTAGTGATTTCTGAATTAAATAAGACACTAGCATTGGAATGCAATAAACTACTCTCCTACTGACTAGATTTCCTGACCTCATTTGTTTTGTTGATTTTATAATATAGTACATACAGGACAGGTGGCAGTTAAGTAGCCCAAAAGAAGGTGAACTCCAGAAGGAAGTCTTTTGTAAATGGAGCTAATAAATAGTTAAAATAATCCACACAGAATCAACAGTTAATTACATTTCATAGTTTTCTAATGCTAATGAGTTAGAGATCACATATATTCAAGGTAATACGATAAGGGTTTCCCCCACACTAAGTCTGAGAGAAATTGTCTGTACATTGTTGCTTAACCTAACCTTCACCCAGTATGGAACTGGGGGCATGGAAAAGTCCATTAGTATACTAAACAAATGCTGAAAAATTAATAACATAAATTTTCCCATAGGACCTAAAACAATATAGCTTACAATAAAGTTAATACAGTGTCAGGCTGGCACGGTGGTAATCCCAGCATTCTGGAGGCTGAGAGAGGAGGATCACTGCAAGTTCAAGGCCAGCCTGGGCTACATAGTGAGACCCTGTTTCAAAACAAACAAACATAGGGGTGGTAGGAGGGGAAAGGGAAAGGAAAGAAGGGAAAGGAAAAATTATGAGAAAAAAAAATGGAAACGAAATCTATGTAAATGGGGAAGGGTGGAGGGGGTGAAGGGTGCACAGGTAATGGGGAAAAAATAAGAACTAAGATACATCATGTACAGGTACAAGCACCCAATGATAAATGTAAATGTATCGTATATCTAAAATGTACCAATAAAAGAATTTTTTAAAAAAAATACAATGTCAAAAGAACTAGGATGACATCCTGATCAAAACTTTTTTTTGTTGTTTGCTTTTTTTGGTACTGGGGATTGAACTCGGGTCCTTGCACTTGCGCAGCAGGCGGCAAAACCACTGAGCTAAATTCCCGGCCCTCAAAACTTTTAACTACTGGACGGGGATTTAGCTCAGTGGTTCCGGCGCCTGCCTCGCAAGCGCAAGGACCCGAGTTTGATCCCTGGTACCAAAAAACTTTTACTACTATTCATGGAATAAAACAATTCTTATATCTTAGTTCCCTAATACCTCTTTTTTTTTTGTACTGGGTGTCAAACTCGGGACCTTGCACTCATGAAGCAGGCGCCAGCCTAATACCTCTTTATCTGGTCTCTAAACTTCAAATTCACAGAAGTCAAAAACATCAAAAAAGGACCTATTGACAGAGAGACATGGACATACAAATATGCTACATTTGCTTTCTAAAGCTGCTTATTAAATTTTCTTCCCTTAAACATTTCAATCTTTAAATCAAAAAAGAACATCCTCAAGTACACTTAAGGTCTGTAACTGGATTCAGTTTACACTAATGAGAGTAGGTGCAATTTATAGCAGGCTTTGGACTTCTCAGACTATCTCAGCAACATACAGTTTATGGTATACAATCATTTATAATACGTTTAAAGCAAAAATATGAGCTATCCTAGCTGTAAGGCTGTTGTGTAGGAATGAGACAGCTTACTAAGAAGAAAGTTAGGTCATCACAACTCACCTTTATTATAATCTACTTTCCAGACCTGCTGTGAATTCTACACATTTGAAATGCACAAAGGTATCAGTATTTGCCACTTCTGAATGCCAAAAATCTTCAGTATTGTTATTAATTTTAAACAACTGTTGCACACCATAAAAGAACATTCATTGCGATGGATTACTATAAAACAAACTGACAAGGACAATTAGCCTGCAACCCCCCATTCACAAATTTATGGAAGACAACTGTTCCCATACCTGCCCTTCAGGTTCTCAAGTTCCCTGTGATGCAACATGCTCCGCATGTGTTCGTCCATCTCCTTCAAAATTAAAGAAAGCAGATTAAACTAAGGGAGATTGCTTTGAGGGGAAGAAAAATAAACTCCTCTGTTCCTGTGTAATCAACAATTAGGGATAAAGTTTCCTGTGTCAAATAATTTTTTGTGATTACTCTTCTCAATTCGATATCGACATCAGTTTTTATTAAATAATTCTTTGGCTGTATTTTTTTACATATTTCATTTTTAAATAAAAGAAATTCTCAGGCATATCTAAGTAGCTTTCCAAAATGGTTAGAAAGTTACCTTCAGGATGCAGAAGACTTAAGAATAAATTTTTGATACTGGGGATCAAACTCACAACCTTGTGCTTTCAAGGTAGGCACAGTGCCACTGAGCTAAATCCCCGGCCCAAGAATAAGTTATGTAGGTTAAATTCTAACCTGTTACAAAAAATTTATTGGAATTTATTTTTAAAAACCTCTCATTCAGGCACAGTGCCCAAGCCTGTAATCCCAGCTAAAACTGGAGTATGAAGATTACATAAGGTCAAGGCAAGGCTGGGCAACTTCCTACAAGTCTCCATGTCAAAATGAAATATAAGGGCTGGGGATTTAGCTCAGTGGTTCCAACACCTGCCTTGCAAGCTCAAGGTCCCGGGTTCAGTCTTCGGTTCCAAAAAAAAGGAAAAGAAATATAAAATATAACTGGGTAAGTATGTAGCTCAGTGGTATGGCCCTTGCCCAGTATTCATGAGGCCTTGGTTCAATCCCCAGTAATGGAGGAGGCGCAGCACCTCTCAAATCATTTCTTTCCAACTATTTTGCTTCCAGGAGCGAGGGTGAGACAGGGTCTCACTTTGAAGTGCAAGACTGGCCTCGAACTCAGTAGGTAGCCTGGGCTGGCCTCTAACTCTTGGTGATCCTCCTGCCTCAGCCTCTCCAATGCTGGGATTACAGGTGTGTAACATCATATCCAGTGCTATTTTGGAACTTTTATTGACACTCTCTTTCCCTACTCAAATGAGCATTTCTCATGAGTAAGCCACAACCCTTACTTATGGTTTGGCCGAACCTGGGATGTAGTTGTCAATAAATATTTGTTGGGCTGGGCATTTAGCTCAGTGGTTCTGCTGCTTGCCCTGCAAGCGCAAGGACCCGAGTTCGATCCCTGGTACCAAAAAAGAAATGAATAAATATTTGTTGAATGAATACAGATGGCCACACCTATTCTAGATAGCAGTTACAAATATAACAGAGTCTCTTTAAGTAGATGAAGAAGTTTTAGGGAGAGACCTGGAGGACACCAACATGAACAAGTTGAAATCATTGCAGAAGGATAAAGTTCGACAGTTTATGATCTTCACACAATCTACTGAAAAAACTGCAGTAAGTTGTCTTTCTCAAAATGACTGGAAGTTAGATGTTGCAACAGACAATTTTTTCCAAAATCCTGAACTGTATATATGAGAGAGTGTAAAAGGATCACTGGACAGGAAGAAGTTAGAACAACTATACAATAGATACAAAGATCCTCAAGATGAAAATAAAATTGGAATAGTTGCTATACAGCAATTCTGTGATCACCTGGCGCTTGATCCAGCCAATATGAGTGTTTTGATCATTGCATGGAAATTCAGAGCAGCAACACAGTGTGAGTTCTCCAAGCAGGAGTTCATGGACGGCATGACAGAATTAGGATGTGACAGCATAGAAAAGCTAAAGGCTCAAATACCCAAGATGGAACAAGAATTGAAAGAACCAGGACAATTTAAGGATTTTTACCAGTTTACTTTTAATTTTGCAAAGAATCCAGGACGAAAAGGATTAGATCTAGAAATGGCCATTGCCTACTGGAACTTAGTGCTTAATGGAAGATTTAAATTCTTAGACTTATGGAATAAATTTTTGTTGGAATATCATAAACTATCAAAAAATACTTGGAATCTTCTTTTAGACTTCAGTACAATGACTGCAAATGACAGATCTAATTATAATGAAGGAGGGGCATGGCCTGTTCTCATTGATGACTTTGTGGAATTTGCATGCCCTCAAATTGCTGGGGCAAAAAGTACAACAGTGTAGCGCTAAAAGTACCTTCTAGAATATACATGGTCTGTAAATAAATACACCGGAAAATTGCACAATTTCTGCTGGCTGGACAGAACTGAAGATCAATCCTCACTATTCACACTATGGGTTGAGACAAAACTTTAAAGATACATTTTGGACCATATCATATTTCATTCTTCAAATGGTGGTTTGGGCTTGTCTTCTAGTTTGGGCCACTCTAAACATTTGTAATTTCAATGTTGTGGATTTCATCTTAACATCTGTGGACCGTCCTACTCTATTCTCCCATAAGTCTTAGAAGCTTTATGGTGATTAATTTGAGGTTTCCATTCTTGCAAAAAGCACAAACCTGTCTTCATGAGAAAACAGTTTGGCATAAGAATTAAACATAATGAATATCACAAACAATTCATAAGAACTTCTTAAATATATGCTTTGGGCTAGCTGCAAAGACTATGCTGATAGCACTTCCAATGAGAGTGATATATTTAAGTGTATGGGATCTGGAATGGTGTTTTGGTTTGGAAGGAGCTTCTTTTTCCTGGCAAATCACATGTATTATTGACATAAGTAGAATATCTGATGAGAGAGATGTCAAAACAACCATCATGAAAATTTTTAGGATAACTTGGTGCCTACTTGAAAAATGTATTGTGTTTTAGACTCTGAGTTTCAAAAAGGTTCCACAGAAATAGTCTGCACTCACCAAGGTCCTACAGGGAGCTTTTATTTAGCAGATGTCTGCGTAATGTTAGAGTCTTCTCTTGTCTACATTATGCACCACATAATTGGATTTCATTATGCTTTTGAAATGCTCATTTGCCTATCAAATAAGTTAAACTATTTAATTTGTTTTGAATATTTTTAATTACTATACAATACAATATCCTAAATTTAGGCATGAGGATTTTTGTTTTTTGGGTTTTTTTTTTCCTTTTTGGTCATCGCGCTATGGAACACAAATGAAATTCTCTTAATTTACGAAAGGATAGTATGATTTAAATTTTGGAAATGGTTGTGATGAGCCATGAAGTTCAATGTATATAATATAGGTACTGCTCTTTCAGACAAGTAGTCCATTTTTGATGACTTATTTTGTTGAAATTGCTTTAACTGCTAATCACTGTGGTTACCAAATATTTACTTCAGGAGCAAAGATTTTTAAACAAGCATATACTTGATTAAAAAATACCAATCTGGCTTCTATTTTTGTATTTAGTCTCTACTGTTTTTGTGTTACTCACATTAGCTCCGTTTTCACATCAAAGCAGAATGCTGTCTTGTATGGAACTCCTCCCCCACTGTTTTTGGGTTTTATTTTTTTGATTAGGGGACACATGAACAGCTTTCTTGCCTAAACTGCTCATTTTGGTTTACTTACTGTCATGTGAAGAAGGGTTAATTGCTTTCTTAAACATTTCTGTAAGGCAAGTTTAAAAATTCTGAACTTCAAGTTTTGGATCACCATGGTTTTTACTAGGAACAGATTTTGCCTGGTATATCCAGGTACTCTTTAGGGCCTAGTATTGCTATCAATAAAAGAATGCACTTCAGAATAGCAGAATGAGTGGACAGAAAACTAGAAACTACAGAGAAGCTGGAGAAATGCAGAAAAAAGAACAAAGCAATCTAGAAATCACATCTTGGCTCCCACGGCGGGACCTGTGTCTGCTGACACAAGGTAAGGCCAGAGAGGGTGAGATGCTCCATAGAGAAGAAAGGGGGGGGGGGCTGGCAGATTAGTCCCAAGAAAAGCCCATGGCTACTATCAACTGCAAAAGCAGCGTGGGGTTTTACTCCAAAAGTAACTCCTTCCACATGGCAAGCTAGAGTTGAAGAAGAAATTCAGTGCAGTGAGAGGTTTCAATTAGGAGCCACTCTAGGAAAGGTTCAAGACTGAGCTACAGAAGACTGAGCTACACAACAACTACACTTCAGGTTTTCTGCTGTCACCATACCACAGTGACTGGCTGGGAGATGGCCAAAAGAGACAGTCACAGAGAGGATGCAGGCTAGACACAGACTCCCTGAGAAGTTTAAGCTCAGCCCAGAAAGGATATAGGGACCCTGCCTTCTGAGGTGAGATGCCATGCCAGTCCTGTGTGGCTTTCAGAGAAGGCTGGCCTAAAAAGTGCTAGCAATAGGTCCAATGGTCTTCCTGAATCCCTTGTCCCACTGCCTAGATCTACCACAGAACCCAGGGTCTGTTTGTTTTCCTCATCTACCAAAGTGAGCAAGGATAAACATCAGCTTGGACAGCTGGCATATCCGGGTGTACAGACAGAGAGGCCTCTGGAGAAAGGGGGAGCACCTAACAAATGCACAGTCCATAAAACTAGATGGAGAAAACTGTGTCATGGAGTGCACAGAGGGACACTGAAATTGGGAGGTGCAGAGTGGTAGTGTCCTTAGCGTGGACACCACTGATGAATCAACCACGCCCAGCAGGAAAGGAGAGGCTGGATTCAGAGTGCACATACAAAAATTCGAGTGTGGAAACAAAATAGGTCTTAGCAGTGACTCACCATCCCCCATATCTAGTAGATTCCAATACTGCAGACCTGGAAAGAAACCACTCATTCAAAACATGGAGGAATTTTACTTTTCACTGTTCTTTGGGGTTTTTCTTCTTTTCATTTTTTTCTTTTGAGACAATTCATTCTGGCCTTGAACTCATGACAATTCGCTTGCCTCAGCTTCTGAAATGCTGGGATTACAGGGATGCAACATAACACCCGGCTGTTTTTGTTACTTTTATCTAATTTTATTTTACCCCTTAAAAGGATTTTTTGGTTCTTATTGTATTGTTTTGAGACAAGGTCTTGATATGTAGTTCAGGCTGGCCTTGAACTCACTATGTGGTCCAGAGTGGTCTGGAACTCATAGTGATCTTCCTCCCTCAGCCTCCCAAATGCTGAGATTATAAGTGTTTTGCCACCATCCATGGCTCTACTCCTTAATAGAATCTTT